AGTTAGCCGCGCCTGCTGATAAAGAGTGTAACCCGACTCTAGCTTACGTAGTTAGGCTTAGAAGAACATATCCGGAGAGGAGAAGAAAAATAAGTCCAGCTGTTCGCTTTGGAGGTCAATGTCAGGGAATTGGCTAACCTTGCAGTGTTGTCATCGCCTTCCTCTGATCCGGTCTTTCTTTCCCTTTCCCTGCAATCCGTTCTGTCTCAGTGAAGTGTGTGAAAAGGGCAGAGCAGTGGACACAGCACGCAGGATTTCGCTTGCCTTCCTGCCGACCTGTCAATGCCCGGAGCTAACGTTACGTAGCAAGTTGGCTAATTAACGTTTGAACTGCCATAATTTTTTTTAAGAAAAAAAACGAATAGTTGAAATTTATAGCTGTGCTTCGGGAGCACTGTTTTAAGCGCACATGTACGTCAAGGCACTGTGGTCAGTGGTGTTTTCATGCTCTTGTGTATAACGCTAAAAAATTAATGCTAGCAATCTTAGCGTGTTTATCACTGATTATTTCTTTCGCTCGACTTGCTGCCAACTCTGAAAAAACCGAACGGTTTGCTTTGCTTACTGAGCTTAAATCACATACTTCTGAGACAGTTCCTCACCAGGCAGACTCTTTGCTCGTGGCACTGTGTACCTAAACGTAGCTAGAAAGCTAACTAAGTAACGTGTGGCTGCATTGAAGTAGCTTTCCAGTTTTGGGAGCGAGAAATACATTTTAACTTGTTTTGTACTTGCGCATACTACGCTACATGGACAAACGGTTTCCACTGGAAGGGGGAAAACGACTTAAATGCTGCATTTTAAGAAAACACATCCAAATTCATACAATAAAGCGCGCATTTCCGTTTTTTCCAACAACTAGACAGAGCCCGACAATCGGGGAAGATATTGTTGAAAACGTTACCTTCTTCCGAGTCTCTCCCCCTGAAACTCCGATCGTCGTCGTCATCCACGCTATCGAGTTCTTCTTCATCATTGTAATAATCCACCATGGGCGACAGCAAAGTCGAAGTCATTTATGCGCTCCGAAAAATGTAAACAAACATAAAATAAACAATCGATTTGTGTTTTGCAGCTTGCTTGGAAGAGCGCCTACAACTGGTAGGACCCCCGGGTGTCAAGCTGTCCAAGAATACGCCTGGGTAGAATTTTGATAATAAACGAATCGTATAAAACATTTAATCGCAGTTTTTAATAGAACTAGCACAAAAACTTTGAAACAGTCACCGCTAATTAATAGAGGCCAAGTTTTCTATGAGTGATTTGAAATGTATGGTAAAACATCTAAACAGGCACATTTCCTATCACATTTGGATAGTTAATAAGTTTCTTTGTTTTTTTTCACTACTCTAAGGATTAGCATCGGAAGGTGATTGGTGAACGCCAGTTTTTTCATTGAGGCCACTGCTGATCCCTGCCAGCTGCCTCTTCCTCGCCCCAGTGCTCACACAATAACTCAGAAACGTTTTCAAACAGTAGTGACCAAAAGAACTACAAAATGTGTTTGTGTTTCTATAGTAGTTTTACAGAAAATCTACGGACAGCTGAAGAAAAACAAAACAATCTCGAATTTTTACAACTGCTTAAGCTGGGGGGAATCAAGTATGCAAAACCTTTAAAAAGGCAGATTTAGCATGCTTTATTAAAAAAAAACAAAAAAAACCCAGATAAAACAAAACAAAAAAAATCACAAAAGCATTCAAAGAAACAAAAACGTATGGTTTACTATTAACCTTTTTTGGTGTATTTAGTGTATTATGTTGAAAACCTAAACTTTAGGAAAATGCAGTTTACTTTATATGAGCAGAATATGCTCAGTAACGATCTTTCATTGACAGTCTATGGAAATTCGTTTTTGTTTTTTGGTTAACGTTGACATTTACATCCTTAATTTTGGTATCATTTTGGCATTGTTTTTGGTCATTAGATATGAATTTGACTAAATTAGTGAAATAATTCTGTCAAATAATTGGTGAAATGTTATCATTTTAACAGCAAATTTATCAGGTGGTGTCTTCAGTGTTGTACTTGGACAGACATAAAAAGTGATAGTGTGATCCCAGTGATGCCAGTGGACGAGAATACTGTTAATCATATAATGCCCAGTTCTACTCGAAGACAGCTTGCACTTCAGTAATGCACTTTGGTACTTAACTTTATCAAAACATGAGACGCTCTACTCCAGTATATTTTGAATTCAAATATGATACATTATATGGACAAAAATACTGGGCCACCTGCACCTGCAGGAGGTAAGCGGCCATGGAAATCCATACCACGAAATTCCTGATGCACAGTTTTGATTTTAATACTAAGGGACAGTTGCAACTCTGTGCCTCAGCACTTTGTGACCCTGCTTTGTAACCTTTACATGGTGTACCGCTGTGTGGCTGAGTTACTGTGGCAAGTGTGGCTTTGCAACAACACCATTTAGTGGTATAAATGAATGGAAGAAAATTCACAAATGGACTTCCCACAGAGGCATGCTCAAATTTACTGAATGACCCATTCTTTCACAAATATTTGTAAAGGCAGGGTGTGCCATTGTGTGTACTCCGTGTGGCTGCTTGAGTTTTGTGGACCTGTGGCTATGGGACTGAAATGATCTGAATTAAGAACAATTAGGAGGTGTGCCCAAATACTTTTATACATATAGTGTATTTTTTACTCCATAAAATGTATTTTAAAGCTTGAGTTAGTTATTATATTTTCAGATTTCTAACATAAATCTACTGTAGATAAAGTTACCCAGCAGAATATGATTAATTAATCAACACCAAAGTGACACGATAATAAATCATTAATTGTGAATGAGTGTTACAAAGCATATGATTCTGCAAGCACTTTTGCTTGCACTAATAGGCAGTAATGCTAAATACATTTACATTAATTAAATTAATTCTGCCTTAAAATGAATTTATTAACAAAGAATTGATGTTGGGAGTGTTACTAGGCCTACCTCTAGAAGAGAAAGGCACTTCACATTTATAGAAGAGAAAAGAGAAATAAATGTTTAAATAGTTTACCAGTTACAACAAAGAGACACTGTAAAGATCCTATGTTTAGGGCATAACTCAAGCAATGGCTGATGGCAAACCATATCTGTGATTGCTTTTAACTTAACATGATGTATTGTTTTACAATCTGTGTTTTCAGGTCTGTTTGTATTTTTACAGTATTTTCCATAGTTTCATGTTACCTGCCCAAGTAGTAATGATGTAAATTAGTAGTTTTGGGTAAAAAATCTGGCATGTCTACATTTTATGTCTATATGATGTCCATTAACATGCACTGTGTCACAGTCTGGCGAGGGCAGACTGTATGAATTGAAAAAGGACCCAAAATGCAGACTCCAAGGAACAGGGAACAAAACTTGAATGTTAACAAAAGGCGAGCCGTTTAATATGGCTAGAAAAAAAGGTACAAACAAAGGGCAAGGCAAACTGAAGCAAAATTAACACAAACCTAAACTGGGAAATCTAAACAAACAATAAGAAAAACCTAGACACGAAACTTGGAAGCATGGCATAGGAAACATGGCGTGGACAACAGACGACCTGACAATCACACACTGAAAACAGAGGACTTAAATACACAGGAGGTGATTAGGGGAAGTGGAGACACATGAGGAAACAGCTGGCACACATGAACATAATGACGTCACAGTGGGAGAGTAAAACTGAACATGATGAACACAGAACACCAGACCTCTTCACAATAAAACAGGAAACATAATGAGACGACATAGACATGACAACCCGAACTTGACAACGTAAGACACAGACATGAAACGCATGAAGAGCAGGGGAGATTTAACATGGTTGGAAACACGAGGGGAAAATAATAACTAGAAACACTTAGGCATAATAATACAAACTTGATAACATAAGACACGCAGCATGAAACACGAAGGGTGAGGGGAAGCTTAAATACAGGGGAAGAAAACACAAGGAGTCTAATAACCAAATGAACTTAGATAACCTAATGAACAAAATAAACTCAAACTTAAAACGCTGGGTCAAAAGACCCAGGACCATGACACACTGTTCCTTTTAAACAATCAAAAGTAAAACTTTTGATTTATTGGGGAAAATAAGTAAGAATACAACTTTTTTTATTGATGGTCTGAATACTTGTTTCTCCACATTACAAAACAGCTATTCAGTAGAATGTAATTAATTTAAACAGATCTAGATTTTTATACTCTTAAGTGCCACTTCTGGCATAATGTCTGTATTAGGAAACAGGTCTGTATAAGCCTGAAAATTATAATACTTGAGTTCATTTTTATTATCATATTAAGGAGTGAAACTACAATCCACACATTCTCCTCACCTTACATCTATGCCTACACATGTCCTCATTTCCACGCCGCACACTCCCTCCCCATTTTTCCTCTGTTTGTCATCCAAAAGGTATCAGTGGAATCTGTTAGGCCAGGAGCCAGTAATCATTATCAGCAAATATTCTTCATTTGCATCCGAGGTTGAGGTCCTTGCTAGTGAATACGCGGTATTCGTTTCGGATCAAATATTGTGGTTTCCTGTGCCCCATCCTACTCCTCCACTGGTTTTCATTGGTCTCCCCGCTCCCCCGGCCATCCTATTGCAAAAACTACTGGAAACGGCCCTGATGCAGAATAAACTCAATAATTTTACAGTTAAACTTCCAAAGTACAACAGCAGGTGGCATCATCGTACTGAGCATATTTAGCAGACTAGCTGGCTTGCCATCTCTGAAGTTGCAACAGAATCGGGATGACTCAGTCCATGCATCTTTAATGATTTGCAAAGGAAATTGGGTAAAGGATCGTTGGTCGTTCACTTTTAATAAATTCTTTATTAATATCTTTATTTTTGAATGCTGCGCCACTGTAAGAATGATTCATACTTTAAAAATTTGTATTGAATTCGGACAAAACAACTGAGCATAAAGTACACGCAAAACAATCAGTCAGATATATATTATGTGGAAAATACCAAGCGCGCAGAGCGCACATCCTCCAGCGGTCGGTTCCCAACACGAGGCAACTTTATTTCCGCCTGTCTGTCAGAGTGGCTGTCAAACACGGGCTAGGGGTTGTGCTCCTGCTGCTCCGTCATTCAGGAAGTCTAGACCAACTGACAGCACTTCGAGAAGTCACAGCGAAATCTCTAGAGTCGGACAAAATAACCCTGAAGTGCGTACGGTTTTCACCAAGGACGAATTTTACAAAAGGTGAGTAGTTTTTTCACTCTGCTGTTGCGCTGCTGTCAACGTTTGTCCCCATCCACTGTAACGGTTAACAGCTCGTGCTAAAAGCCTCGCGCGCTGAGAACTGAAAATGACACTTCCTCTTGGCTCAACGGCTGAGCTACTGTAGCTAAATGTCAAAGCGGTAAAAGTGGATACAAAGGAGTAGTAGTGTCGATTAGGTTGCACCTGAAGTTGGTAATGACTATCATCGCCTGTTTTCGACGTTGTTCGGCTTGTTGTTTGAACGCAACTCAGAGGTGGTGAGTACTGAGACAAGCATCAGCTCGCTGGGGTTAAGTGCGTAGGTTTGGTTTTTAACGGCTTTAACGAAGTGTGCACGTTTGCTCGTTATTGCACCTTTTTAAAGCCTAGGCTGAATTGTGGGTATTTTTTTACGCTGTGAACTGACGAAGAAGAAGCTTTGCTCTTTGGTTTGTTCCTCGGGGGGTGAGTATGCTGAGAAAACGAATGACAGCTTGTAGTGAAGTGAACGTTTGGGGTTTTTTTTTGCAACAGACAAGGTGGCTGGGTGGTGTATAAACTTGTCCATGGTGTTATTTTAGCAGTCTCACGCAGTGTGAGTGTCAGTCCGTTTGAATCTGTCACGTCCAAAATGACTGTGGTACCTTCCATTGCACATTGTTGTGAGTGAGCTTTTACTATCAACGCACGGTCACAATGGCTTTCGGTTGAGACAGTGTAACGTCCACTATGCATGACACTACGCATACTTTTACTACGTCTATCTGAAGCCTTTTTACACAGGCGATCATGATCTGCACACCCTGTTTTGTTCTGTTTTTGTGGGGGGTTTAGGATTTAGATTGTAGGATTAGACTGCACTAATTTAATGCAAAGACAACAACGGTACGTCATTCATTGTTTTATTATATAAGTCATTCATGGCTTGAATTGTACCGGACATCTTCACCTGCACACGAGACGGTGCTCCATTAAATGGGCAGTAGTTAAAAGTAAATGTAGGCTAATACGGCGCGCTCGAAATGGCAGATGTAGATAGCAAGCTGAGCACTAAAACCCAAGCTGACCCAATATGATGTCATCTCTTGTGTGTAGAGCGCATGAGTGAGAGGAAGCAGACCCGTGTTTGACTGCTAAACTGTGTCATTTGTAAAGATTTATTTTAAGAAGCCTGCCCACTCAATTTCAGGCATGGATCGCGGGAATTTAATCCTGTATTATGACACTGCACCTGCATGCCATTCACATCGATTTGTAGTATTTTTTTTCTTTTTTTTTTCTGTTATGTCATTTAGCTTAGGAATGATGCACTGTAGATGAAAACCCTGTGTGAATCAATTTTGCACACTGTAGTTTTACACAGTGGTTTACTCATCTTGAGATAATGTTAAGTGAGTATTGTAAAACTGATGTCAGTTCCCCTTTATAACATCTGTCAAGTTTGTCTTTCTGTGCTATGTCCGAGTTTCTCTGCCCTACTTCGGTTTTGTTCAAAGGGCAAATACGTCACTGTTGTGCAAGTGTGTTTTGTCCGTTTTTCACATCATTCACATCTAATCGGTTCATCGACCACCCAATCGCAGTTCCACTGACATAGGGAACAGAAAGTGTCACACTTCCTTATTGGTATCTCCTTTTATGATTTTGATTGTGCCATTTTCTCTGAATGTTTCGATCCCAGTCACAACATAGACTAGATGTTAAAGGTACATGTAGCATAATGGTGCACAGATAATGATGGACATAGTATTTTAGTTCACATTTCAGATCAAACCACAAAGTGAAAAGGGATCTATGTAAGCACTAAAAGAGGCTCAAGAAGTGCTTTTACTGTGACAGTGTAGAAAGATTAAAACATTTTTGGAATGGGTCGGAGTGATATATGCTAAAATGATTTCAAAAGAAATTCCACTAAACCTCAAGCTTTTTCTTTTCTGTTTGTAGCTAGGAGGACACGACTGCAATTAAAATGAAGAACAATTAATGAACCTCAGTTGTTTGAATGCCAAAGAGCTAATTGTGACGTGTTTTTTGGGTGGGGGAAAAAACCAAATATTACCCACAGGATAAGATAAATAATGTCAATTCTTCCACTAGATAGAATAACACATATATTAAAATCTAATAGGAAATCAGTGTGAAGTGAGCAACAGCCATCCTATACCCATTTTTACAATGTTCACAGAATGTTTTGTCTTTAATGTTAAAAAAAAAAGAAAAGTTGTTTGGGTATAAATTACCTTGTATATTAACAAAATGAGTGTTTTCCTGTTTGTTTGTTTGCATGTTTATTTGTTTTTATCTTGTTAATTTTTTTAATTGTTTAATTTTTTTAATTTAATCTAAACTATTTAAACAAATACTCAGTCCACAGATGTAGAGGAGACAGAGGTGCGTGTGTGCGCGTGTGTGTGTCTGTATTCTCATGAATTCAGGAAATCAGTTAGTGCTTTCAAGAAGGCAAGGCATCATGAAATAGAACAGTGGGGAAGGACAGCCTCAAAATTAGTAATCTAATTCAAACCTGCAAGGATTCAACATGCTGGAGAGAGAGAGTGAGAGATATGATGGCTTAGTGTGCTCTGACTCTGTTGTTCTACTCCATAGCCAAATCCCTTATCCTAATGAGAGAATTTATTCTGTTGGGATCTTCAAATTATTGCATTAATGTCACAAAGAGGAAATGGACTCAGCAGAATGGAAACCACAGTTCCCAGTCTTTTATGACAGACGGGGCTTGCTTCTTCTGGGTCTGTCCACATGTCATTGGGATGTACAATGGGCTGCAGCAGATTATCTGTACAACAGATACTGCCATCTTATAAAACAGACTACATTAGTTATAACAGTTGTCCTGACCTCTATGTGCCCTTTATAGGTCTTGTAATATGCTGCAGCGTCTAATGCAATCTCTGTCTGTCTCAGTGAAATCCTGATTTGTTTTATTTCAGAGAAACTAGAAGCCACTGAAGCCCTCTACTAGCTTTACACAAGATGGGATTTTTTTTAAAAAACAACCCAAAAACTTATCAATGGGAAGAGTTTAACTGTATCAGCTATAATCGAGAAATTAAACTCCCAGTCCCCCTATGTGAATGTTAAAGTTATCGAGTTGACCTGTTCTTTTGAAAAACCTAGACAAGCCTACTGGTAGGCCTCTTACAGTTTGGAAACAATTATGTAATAAGGTTATTGGCATTGTCATATCCACATATTTGAAACAGCAATTGTGATATTTTACAACAATTTAACCCCTCAATGAGAAAGAGCTGAATTTGCTTCTAGGTGAAACCTGTTGAAGTGAAAAGCTTTTTCCTTTCACATGATGAAAGGCTGACTTTTGAAACCTATATTACAGAATTGTCAGTTATCCAGTGCCACAGCAGTTTGGTGGTTTATGCTACAGTGGCAGGGCACATCAATATTAAAGGGCTTCTGTCAGGCTTAATGTTATGCAGTGATCTGGTTTAGGATGTCTGATACAGGAATGTTGTCTCAGATAGTAAGGAGAATTATGCCGTTTCTACCCCCACCACTGATGTGTTCATGCGTACTGCTTTTAATGATGATTTCAGTTGACAGCAAAACTCTGTACTGCTGCAAGATCATAGTCTTGTGAAGCCAGCAAGAGAGAGTACCAGCACAGATATGTGTTAGCAGGATTAATCTATAGAAGCACTTTGTTTGATTAGCCAGTCAGAACTACCTACGGTACACGTGTGCATGTTCACAGTGGGTGCGTTCCTAAATCTTCTTTTGGTGTGCATTAAAGCAGCGTTTGTGTCCAACTAAGAGTGTCTATTTAATTAAATGTGAAGATGGTTAGTTCCTCAAAGCAAATGCCCTTTTTATAAACCATCTGTTGATTCATGTCCAGCTCATAGTTTCTTTTATCGGCATCACTTCTGGATTTTTATGGCAATGGCGTATTTGCACCACTGACCATCATGGGGAAAAATGTGAAATGGATCTAGTCAAGGCCCAGCAGCTGGTGCAGACCTGAGTCATGGCCTTGGTCTACTGAAAGCTGTCTCAGAGGGGGGAAGCCACGGCCCAGCAGATGTCTCATCAACAAATGCCTCCCCAGTGAGTGTGCCATTTCTGCTGTTTACTTGCCACCTTGCACAGCTGAAAACTGTATTAGTCAGACCAACCACTTTAGATCTTGAGCAGAAGTATTCAGCTGTCGCCCACTGAAGTTTTCACAATGAAAATATTGCACACCTAAAAAGGTAATTATTGCAGCAGTTCTGATCTAAGTATGTGTGTGCTTATTCATCTGGAAATTCCTATTGGATTTTATAGGCTTTTCACTAGTGTAGCATCTGGCTCAATTTCTTCACTGAGCACAATAATGTATGTGCTGCATACTATTATGCACCACATATTGGTTGTTAAATACGTCATTCTTCCTAATGTACTACATGTCCATTGTTTCCTTCATTGTTTTTTTTGGGGGGGTTTTTTCAAATTGTGTCACAAGATAGGCATTTTGGCAAGTTAGCCTCTGTGGGTGTGGGAGGTTAGCACGAGTGACTTGATTACAGAGCTTTATTAGAAGTGCGCATCCAATCCCCTGGCGAGGTTGCAGCTGTGACCATGAGTAGGCCCCCCTACCCACCCTCTTTTCAACCCCTATTATGTCCAACTACATCTGTCTCCCTTTTTTTTTTTTTTTTTTTTTTTTTTTCGTGAAATGTGCAAGCCTATCCCTGCTCTTCTATGACTAGGCCAAGTTGAAGTGCTGAGGAATTATGAGGAGCCATCACCATCACCCAAAGAGACATTACCAATGCTGATGGCTGACTTGTCTTATCTCTGCCCACCACTACCCCTCCTGGGCCTAAGGCTTAATTTAGCCTGGCAGAATGGCGGAAAAGACTCAGACTGGACTATTTTTAGAACTACATGGTTCACTGTAATATGGGTCTTTAAAAAATTGAAAGTGTCATGTCATAGGCCTACCATTTGCCTCTGTTCTGCTGACTCTCCCCTGCATG